ACAGAGGACTCCTGGTTCTCCTCTCCATCAACACTTGGAGTCATGGCCTTTCCAGCCTCCAAATATGCTTATCCAACGAAAAAAAAAGTGAGGGAGGGAAGACAAGGAACTAGAAGATAAGGTGAAGTATGTGGTATGTGGGACATGGAAAAAAAATTACAGTAAAAGATGGAGAGTGAGAGCTGTAAAGAAAGTTGTCATGTGATTGACAACTCCAAAATTTTTAACGGTTCATTAGTTCATTTGACTTATATCCTTCAATCTTTTAATCTATAAATCTGAACAAGGCACAGTTAGAGATTCATAAAATGCTGTTACTTTCCAAATAAAAGGTTAGGTAAAGGTGTGCAGACCCCTTGTTCAAACAATCCCTGTACGATGGAGTCTTCCATTTTCGCATTCTCGTCCATTTTTTGCACGAAAGGTGCAACTCGTTCCTGGGCAAATTTGGTCACTGAAATGAAGAGAAGAGAGAAAACATGTAAATATTCCACAAATAAATGAATAAACAGTCTCCTTGGGAACCAATACAACAGGAATGTGGCGCTTCTGACAGGTTATGCATGTCAGAAGAAAAAAGTAAGCAGCCCAAGCAACATCAGGCACAAAGCACAACTCCCCCAAAAAATCTCAACATTTGACTAGAAATAAATTATGAAAACGAAATTTTAAGCTAAAATATCACTTCTGCTTGGAACATTTCTGAATTTTAACTGCAGAGATAACAGCTACCCATGTCTTTCAGCATGGCCTCCTCTTCAGTGAAGGTTTGAAGCGGAGCACAGGCAAGTCCATCACTGGCTACATTTGGCTTGAGTTCTGATTTGGAGGATCTAAAAGCACAGGGAGAAACCCTCCAAGGAGCCAAGGGTGCTGGCATGTGTCTTCTCAGCTGCTGGCAACAAATACAGAACATGCAAACAGTTAGATTTGTCTGCAGACAACCATATATAACTTTATCCAGTGCTTTTATTCAGTAAATTATTAGGAAATATAACTTACATCTAATGTTCAGCTTGAAAGCTTTTGAGAAAATGTAACCTCCCCCTCCCCTGTGTCCTAAAAGAAAATATCCTTTAATTACTTTTCTTTTAACATGAAACAGTTTTCTTTCTGGAAGTTTACTAACACAAGTTTATTCTACAAAGTATGCACAAGCAGTTTTTAGTCAATTTTAGTGTTTACAGCAAATGAACCCTGCTGATAGTATTTATTTTGATAGATGATTTTGCAGATCTACTGCAATATTCCGAGTAGTGAGCGTGTATTTCAATAGAATGAATCTTTCATTAATAAGAATGATAAGAGTAAATATAAAATACACATACAATGACTTTTACAGGCCTGTCAACTTTAATGACTGAGTTTAGCTTTCTCCTGCTTTTCTAGGGACCAGCAACTCTTGTTTCTAAAGCAATCTGACAGCCCCTCACATGGATTATTGGCATTTTGCTGTGAAAGGGTCTGAGTTTTAACTCCACTGTGCATTTCTGTATTCAAACTAAATTCTTATCCACCACTTAATGATTTTCAGAACGAGCACACAGTTTGTACACAAGGCATTTCAATGCTTCTGTACAGTTAATTTTTGTAGACAAAGCCCTGGCATTTCAATGCTTCTGTACAGTTAATTTCCACACAGTTAAAATCCCACAGTCAGCATGTTGATAGTGTAACTAATAATTAATGTGTTTTATCTGGTTGATTTATTTTAAAAGCATGGGAAGGAACTAAAACTAAGTGATTTATGCTTATGCTCCCCATTTGTCCACAATATACAACAATGATTTCAAGAAGCATTGGTTATCCAACCAAAAGAGCAGAGGCTGAGCACTTTACTGTGGGGAATAGTATTAAGAATACATGGCAAAAGTCACAAAAATGAACAGAACAGTGGCTTTTGGGAGGAAGCTACACACAGTGATTGTCAGGACATAGACAATGTGACAGCTTTGTCCCTCAGAGACCTAAAAACTTCTGTGTTCAAAGACTTAATTACCTCACAGCAGGCTTTAGAAAGGCAAGCTTGGTATGAAGGCCAATATGCTTTCCAAACACAGAATAATTTCTTAGTAAATTTAAAGGAAGGACTTTAAAGGACTTTAAGGAAGTTGGCATAAAGGGTCTGGCTTAGGACTTTAAAGGAAGTTGGCATAAAAGATCTGGCTCAAAAAGTAATGAGCAGTAGCTAAAATGCTGTAAAAGCAGCACAGTTTGTCTGTGTCTCAAAATGACAGAACAATGGTTCTGTTCTGCTCCCACAGCTCCCCACACCCAGCCCACTCTGGGGCTGATCTCTGCCACAGATTTCTGGCACTTCTGCCCTGTCAGTCCAAAGTGTGGAGACACAAATGTCTCACCAGGACAAGTGCTGACAGAAACCCCCAGGAGAGACACAGCTGGGCCATGAAGCATGAAAACACATGTCTGCCAGCACAGGTTTTTGGCAGCACTCATTCTGACCCCCAGAGTGAGGAACAGACTGGCTGTGCCCCCAGCAGGCGCCTGCTCAGCTCACAGAACACAGGGCAATGCCACAATGCACACTGTGACAGCAGCATTCCTCCAAAACCAGCAGAAACTCTGGGGTCAGGAAGTAAAAATTCCTTTGATCCTTCTAATAATCCCCCCTCTTTCATGTTGGCTTTCAACACTTGTCATCTTCCTGGCTGAAGAACTGATGGAAAACACATCCATGAACTCTTGTGGAGACAAGAAGCAAAAGTCTGCTGTGATAAGGAAATTCTGATTTTGGCACAAACAGCTGTGCATAAAATAAAACCCAACAACAACAAACAGTCAGAAGTGGTAATAGAGAAAATTAATATTGCTGTGAAAATTCAGTGTTTATTCACATTCAACACCCCTGGTGACATAAAACAACCACTGCTGAGCAGGGTTAAATTGTGAGTACATTTGGATGGTCAGCAGTAGCTGCAACACTTTCAAAGGATGATGGAGTTACTGGAGTCACTGTGGGTCTTCACAAAATAAAGAAAACACTGTTTTAATAGAGATTAAACCCCAGGCAACCATGTTCTGGGAGCAGTCAGGCAGGAATGGATTACTATGCCGGGGTCACCTGACAGCCAGGTGTGCAAACACCCTCCTGTGCAAGTCTGTCCTTGGCACGGCTGAGAAGGGAAAACCTGAGCCTGCACATGCACATTTCTGTTTAACACTGCTGCCTCCTGAGCACTGACAGGGCTGCAAACCACACACACGCCTGCTCCTTCCACTACTCCATTCCCAAGTACAAAGAAAAGAGTGTTTTGCTCCATGGTGAATCACTGGGAATACAAAGCATAAAATCATGGAGTAGTTTGGGTTGGGACATTAAAGCTCAGCCAGTGCCACCCCCTGACACCTTCCACTGTCCCAGGCTGCTCCAAGCCCTGTCCAAGCTGGTTCAGGCATTTATCAGCCATGCTTTGGTCAGTAATTGTTTGAGACACTTTGCTCCTTTGCAGGAGCAAAGGAATATTCCTAAAAAGATCACCTTGAAAAGTTTGGGAACCAAAGGGATGCATCCAAGGCAATTCCCACACAAAGAGCAGCAACTCACAGCTGTCCCAGAGGGATAACAGCCCAGTGTGGAAATTATCTTTTAGTTTGACATTTAGATTTTAAAACTAAATAAACAATCAAGTCACTACATTATTGTGCACCTCTCTTTTCTTACAGGCCTTGCAGTATCACTAATTTCAGGCAGTTATTTGAAGAGCATGTGCATTACTTAAATCCTTGGCTGCTGCTTCCCTTTTTTCCTGCTCTCTTTCTGTAGGCAGTGATTTATCCTGCTACAGGATTCAGACTGCTTGCCCTCCTGAACACAGGCTTTTGAGAATTGCTTGCTGATAACATTGATTTTTCTGTTTATCTCAATTTTTACCTCCACCTCAGCTCTTTAAAAGATCAGTTCTCCTGGTTTCATGTTTGTTTTACAATCTAAAACAAGATTTTAATGCTGGACCCGGCAGCAGCATTAAGATATAAACAGAAAAAACCCCAAAGCAATGTTTTTCTCAGCTCACTTCGTGACTCCCACTCCTTGTCCATCCCAGCTGGTTTCCACAGAGCTCCCATTTCCCAGCAGAGAAGCTCCCCAGTGGGAAGCTGGCATTCATTCCTAGGGGTGGTTTTCTTTATTTCAGTTTATTTCCAGAGCCACAACACACCCAGGAGCTGCAGGAGAAGGTCTCACCATGCACAGCCATGGCAAAACCCCGGGGTCTCTGCGTCTCTTGCTCACAGCTCCAGTGCCCCAGGTGCGTTCAGCAAAACCAAGAATATTCCGAATTGGAAGGGACCCACAGCATCACCCAGCGCAGCTCCTGGCCCTGCACAGACACCCCAAAATGCCCAGCCTGGGCATCGCCAGGCTCCTGGAGCTGCGGCCGTGCCCGTTCCCCGGGAGAGCCCTTCGCTGCTGTGACTGAAGAGACCCCGAAGCGCTCTGCTGCCAGGCCGGTGCTGCCTCCCCACAACTGCACAAGAACTTTTCTTACCGCCAAACCCACCGCCGTCCCTCCACACACCAACTCACAGCGCACAAGGAGGAAAGGACGCTCCCGCACCGCCCCCACGCCCCGCAGAGCTGCCCCCGCAGCCCGACACGTCCAGCCCCGGCTCAGAGACCCCCGCCCCGCAGCAGCGGGCTCGGGAGCAGCCGCAGCCCAGCAGGACGCGGTGTCTGTCCCTTGCCGTGTCCCCGCTCCCCTGTCCCGCCCTGAGGCGTCACCTTCGCGCAGCCCCTCAGCCAAGCTCCCGCCGCCGCCGCCATTTTGGCGCCCTCCCCGTGACGTCAGGGCCACCGCCCGCGTGACGTCAGAACCAACGCCCCCGTGACGTCAGAGCAAACACCCCCCTCTCCGCTCCCACCGGCGCGCCCGGGTCTCGCGAGACTGCGGTGGGCGGGGCCGGGCCGGGCCTGGGGGAGGCGGAATAACAAATATGGCGGCGGCGGGCGGCGGTAGCGGCGCGGGGTGGCAGCGGTGAGTGTTATCTGTCCTTATCTTCCCACTTTTTCCTGCCCTTCCGTCTCTTTCCCACTCCCTTTCCGTCTCTCCTTCTCCTTCCGGGGCCTCTCTGTGCCGTGACGGGGCCGGTTGGCGGGAGTAGGGGGGCAGCGCTTCAGGAGGGCCGCGCTGCCCCGCCGGGAGCGGGGCCGGGTCAGCGGCGCAGCCCCGAGGCCGCTGCCTTGGTGTGGAGCGGGGGAAACACAAATCGGAGGGATCACAGAAACTACAGAATGGCAGAAATGACAGGGTTACTGAAATCGCAGGATCACGGAGTCGCAGAGCGGGTGAGGTTGGAAGGAATCGATCCGGTGCCACCTCCCTGCTCGGGCAGGGCCGTCCCCGAGCACACGGCGCAGGTTCTGGGTATCTGCAGTGAGGGAGACCCCGCACCCGCTCTGGGCAGCCTGTTCCAGCGCTGTCACCCTCACAGTGGAGAAGTTCTTCTTTGCTGGGGTGGAACTTGCTGTGCATCGGTCCCTGCCCGTGGCTCTGGTGCCGCTGCTGGTCCCCGGGGCAGAGCCTGGGCCTGCTCTGACCCCCCGGGACCCTGACACTCAGGGCCAGCCAGGGCTGAGGGCCCTCTCAGCTGGGGCTCCTCTCCAGGCTGAGCAGCCCAGCTCCCTCAGCCTTTCCTGAGCTGCTCCAGGCCCTTCAGCATCTCTGCTGCCCTTCACTGGATGCTCTCCAGAAGCTCCGTGTCTCTTGTCCCGAGGAGCCCGGAACGGGACACGCGCCTTTCCGGGAGGTTTCCCGTGGCCGTTCCCACTCTGGCTGGGGCTGGAGGAGGAGGAGCGGGATCGAGCGGGGGCGTTCGGGGTTGATGACAGGTCACGGCGGCCACCGACGCTGTGCTTCACTCCCCTCCCCACGGTCACACTCCTTCAGCAGGACCTGGAAGAGCTTGGATGGAGTTTGGAATCCTTCCTGCTTTCATTTATTTGCTATGGAAAAGATGGAACAGAGAACATCCCCCCTTTTTTCCCCGGGATTCCTTAGAAGGAGGTGGGGTGCATCCATATGCTCACAGTAATTCTATTCTCTTACTGCATACGTGTCCTCATAGATAATTTATGCTGTTATAATTACTGCAGGATTAGTTCTGACTGTGTGTGTGAAACTGCTGGGTGTACTCTATGAACTGCTTTCTTTAGCAGCATTATTCAGGCAGAATATTTCATCCTGGCACGTTCTTTGACAGCAAACTGAGCTCAGCTCAGTGCTGTGACCCCTGTTCAGGCCAGCAGTTGTGCCTGGGTAGAAAATGAGTAACCTGTGCTCTGCTGCTGCTTGTGTGAAGCTGGAGGAGGTGTGGTTGTGTCAGCAGAGCTCGGGTAACACCTGGTGTGATCAGCCCATCCCTGGTGTGTGAAACACGAGCTGGGCTGCTCAGTTTCTGCTAATTAGAATTGCATTTGCAGGTTTGCAGGAGTGACACAGCAAGGATCAGATGTGCGTCATTCTCCCCTGAGAAGGAGAGCTGCTGCCTCTGTAGCTCTGAAAAATGCCACATAAAATCACAGAAGTGTTTGGGCACACCAGTGGGAGCTTTGGGTCATGTTTAAATTGTGGTGACTTCCCTACACTGGTGTAAAGAAAAGGATGAGGGTTCTCATGATAAATCAATGAGGTAGAGAAAGGAAGTTTTATGCAGTTGATCCCTAACCTGTTTAGGAAATGTTATGTCTTTTTTTTTCACAATTAAATGTTTTTTAAAAGCAATCAGTGCAATAAAGTAAGGCTGAGAGAATTGGGGTTGTTCAGCCTAGAGTAGGGAAGGCTTTGAGGTGACCTAATTGTGGCCTTTCAGTACAGGAAAGAAAGGAAAGAAAGATGGAGAGAGACTATTTACAAGAGCCTGGACTGACAGGACAAGGGGAAATCGCTTTAAACTGACAGAGAGCAGAGTTAGATGGGATATTGGGAAGGAATTAGTCTCTTTGAGGGTGGGCAGGCCCTGGCACAGGGTGCCCAGAGCAGCTGTGGCTGCCCCTGGATCCCTGGAGTGCCCAAGGCCAGGCTGGACAGGGCTGGGAGCACCTGGGACAGTGGGAGGTGTCCCTGCCATGGCAGGGGTGGCACTGGATGGGATTTAAGGTCCCTCCCAACCCAAACCATTCTGTGATTCTCTGAAATAAGTTTTAGTGCCTTACCCAAAGGCACACACAGATTCTCCTCTGATAACACAAACCTTTGATGTTGTTTTGAATGGTTTAATTTTAAATTGTTATTTCTTATTATAATTCATGGAAAGTTGGTCAGGACTCTGTTACATTGTCCTGTTTTTCTCTTTATATCTTCAATATTAGAGGTATCTTTAATATTGTAATTCATATCCTGATGTCTTTGTTTTATTGCAGGAGACACCAACAAATGGAACACAAATTAACTTAAGCCTGCAGGAGGCTGGTGACGCCTGGAAGAGGGTAAGTAGAGAGATAGATCAAGATGTGTTCCAAACTTAACTTCATGGTGATAATCAGTGCTGGGAGTTGAGGACACTCAGGCAAGATGTGACAGAACATCCTCATCTGGATGCCAGAAATGAACAAACATCTGTAAGGAGCTTTGGATACACAGGAGAAGATACTTAAATGTGGTCTGGAACTCAGAACTTGAGTTTCTGTAGGTCACCTGAGTACCTATTAAAAATAAGGAATATTCTTATTGAAATGGTAGCATTGTAAATTATTTCTGATTATAATCTGCAGAAATAATGTGACAGACTCGTTGTTCTCCTTCCAAATATATCCCAAGGTCTGTCTTCCCAAATTCATTGTGAATTGGGGCTTTATTGAGGTTTGTTATTTACACTCCCCAAAACAAGCCTGACCACTGATTTCTGGGGAATATTTTAATCATTTCAGGGCAAAATAATGGACTGGATTAAGATTTTTACCCAGGATAGAAAAGCCAGATTTTGGGAGAACTGTGAAACAGTGCTTTGTCTAAGCTTCTTTCCAGCTTTGCTAAACACCAACATTCAGTTGTTTCCCAACATTGCAGCTCCCATAACTGACTGACCCAAATCTGGAGTTTTTTGAAACAGATGTTTATTGGAAAACAAAAGTGAGTCAGAAGTGTCCTTCAGGTGGCATCCAGGAAGCAGAGGATGCAGTCTTTGGAAAAAAATTTACTGGAAGTGTGATTGAAACTCTGCTGCTCTAAATTTTATAAAACAGAGTCCTGTCTTTCAAACACAAACCAGGTTTCTTTCTTATAACTCATGGGGGTTGGGAAGAGTAATGGACTCACATTTCCTTTTTATTCCTTCTAGGAAAAGTGGAGAAGCTGTGCTCTGTGCTTTTTATCTGATGTGTTGTGGTACATTTTGGAGCATGTTTGCTACTTAGCAGGGAGCTAAAATTCAGGTATGATTCATATTTATATTTTAAAAAGACAGGTTGTTTATTATTATTATTATTATGTATTTTTTATTTTAAAATTTTATTTACTGTGTTATTATTATGTCATTTACCTGTTGCTGAAAGTGATTTCCCCATAAATTGTATTTGGTGATCTTTAATGAGTTAAACATTCAAAAACCAATATTCTTCTGGTTGCCAATTTGTTCTTTGACTCAGTGTGATGGGTCTAATGCTGGCCAAATGCCCATGCATCCACTAAAAATTATTTATTTACTCATTTCCTGCTGTGAGAGATGGATTAGGAGGAGGAGGGCAAGCCAGGCTCAAAACTTTAAATGGTATAAAGAAAACTTTATTAACAGAATTAAAATAAAAAATGATAAAATCAGAACAAACCTTCAGAACACTTCTCTCCCCACACCTTTTTTCTTTCCCACAGACAATGTACAGAGACAAAACCTGGAACTTTCAGTCACTTTGCCACCTCTAAAATAATCTTTCTTCAGTCCACCTAGGGAGGGGAGTCTCTCTTGCCATGCTATGGAGACTTCTCCACAAGAAGAAGTTCTCTTGTGGCTTCAGTGTCAGCAGCAAATCAGCCACCAGGAAAGGAAAATCTGTCTGCAGTGTGAAGGTCCCTCCCATGAGTTACAGCTTTCCCAAAGCTGCTTTCATGGGCCATGTTAACTTATGGGGCACTATTTTGTGGATGAGCTCTTCTAGCATAAAAACAAAAGTTCTTTTATCTCTGGGAACAGAGGTTTTTCTTCTTCTATCCCTGGGGCAAAGTTTCTCATCTCTCTGTTCCAGCTTCTCATTGGATTACAGCTTTTCAGCATCCACAGCTCCAGCATCAGTGTCCTTCTCTCAGGGGCTGCAGGTGAATGCTGCATTCTCCCATGCACTTCATGAGGAAAAAGGGAAAAAACAAAGTCTGATAGATCAAAAATACATCTTCACCATAGCCTCAGAAAAGAATTTCAGCCCAACACTAAGGCATCTCCTCAATCCTCTCCCATCTAGAATTTGACTCCTTCTTTACTGCTCTCAGTGTCCATGCTGTTTTCTCTATGTGTCTTCACCCTTTGCTTTTTCTGTCTTGGGAGAGAATTAGTATGTTCATTTTTTCTCAAGCCTTATCAATTGGAACAGTTTTTATAGAGTCCTGCAGCGTTGAAATGTTGATTTTGTCCAGGCTCCACCACTGAGGAGTCACCGTGCTCCCTGCTGGCACCACCCCTGCGCCTTTCCTTCATGTCGGGTGTCAGGAAAAGAAACAAAACTGCTGCTGCTGCTTTTGTCCTTCTGCCTGCAGCGGGGCTGCCTAAAAGCAAACAAAGTTCATTGTGAGCCATGCTGAGACAGCCCTGGCCGCGCGGTCGCCCGCGGCGCTGGGTCAGTCCCAGCAGCACAGCCCGGTGGTGGCAGAAATCCCAGCCAAGCAGCACCCCAACCTGGCCAGGAGAGCCTGGCCCGGCCAGGAGAGCCCGGCCCAGCCGGGCCTGGCCCGGCCAGGAGAGCCCGGCCCAGCCAGGCCTGGCCTGACCCGGCCATGCGAGCCCGGCCTGGCCCAGCCAGTGCCCTCTTCAGAGGCCGTAAGTGGCCATTGCCATCCTTAAATGTGTTTTCGTAGAGGCGTGTTCAGCTCTTCTAAGTGGTTTAAATGGCTGTCAATCTTCTAAACTAGCCTGCTGATTGGTTAACTTGATGTCAATCTTCAAACTTAGCCAGTTGATTGGCTCTTCAAACTAAGCAGCTCATTGGCTCTGCCAGGTCCCTTCAGGAACCACTCTCTCAACTGAAAACCAGACTTTAAACCACGACACACGTGTTGTGTGATAAAAGTAATTCTTCCCTTCAAATCCAGCCCAAAACCTGGACTTGTTTCTATGAATGCAGCCAAACTCAATGACACTTGTGTTCTGAAAACATTTTCCCTTCTAGGCACGAGAGGTTGTAAATGAGAGAGTCAATATGGGGGAAAAGAAGGCAGAAACATTGGATTTTGTGAAGGATTTTCAGGAATATCTGACCCAGCAGACTCAGCATGTCAATATGATTTCTGGATCAGTTACTGGTGACAAGGAAGTAGAGACTCTCCAGGGAGGTGAGCTGTACCATAAACTTTTTTCCAGTACCATAAGTTTGATTTTTTTGAGAGTGACTGCAGTGTCACAGTCCAGGTAATGCTGCAGCTATATGGCAGCATTTCTAATAGTCATTTTCATGTCACAAAGGATGTGTATGTACCTTTGTTTCAATCAGGGCATGTGTTTATAATTCTCTACATTAAAGATAAGGGCAGAGAGAAGCAAAAGCCATTTGGCATTTGCTCACAGTGTGACAGATGGCATCCCACAGATTGTTCATTAAAATCTGTGTTGCATTGTTCACAGCTGGGACAGAAGGTGATCAGAATGGTCTGGATCATCCTTCTGTTGAAGTTTCACTGGATGAAAACTCAGGAATGTTGGTGGATGGCTTTGAAAGGACTTTTGATGGGAAGTTAAAGTGTCGATACTGTAACTATGCCAGCAAAGGAACAGCACGGCTCATCGAGCACATCAGGATTCACACAGGTATGGATCTTCTGCTCTGCCTGCCTGGGACGCCCTGGGGGATTTCCTCTGCATTGGGATTTCCATGTCAGCACTTGGCAAATTCAAGCAGTGGGAGAATTCTTAACAATAGCTGGGTATTGGTGGGTTTTTGTAGTCTATTTTTGTAAAGGTGTGCCATGCACCTATTTAAACTGTGCAAATCCCTACTGACATTTATTATTATTATAAGTAACTACATGGGAGTAGAGTTTAGCATGAAAGCTTCAATATAAATATATTAGTTTTTCTGAGCTGATGAGAAAAGTGACAAATGTACACGTTCCTACACAGAGATTTATAGGCCCTTCCTTTGTTGTTTAGCCATGAAAATATTCCTGTTCTGCACAACATTCTAGATGTGGAAGTACAAAGCCTAGTAATAAGAATAAAGTTATTGGTAGAATATTCAAATGTGAGGACTTGCCATCAAGCTAGTGACTAGTTATCAATTAACAGAAAAATTATCAACTGTGGCTTGTTAAGGGGCATTTGCCACTGTTGGGTGTGTAAACCTGAAAAGCAAAACTCTCATAAAGGCTAAAATATCCTAAACTGTTCTGAAAGCCCAAACCTCATGGCAAATGAGAGAAAACAAAACAAAAAAAAAATAGGTGCTTGTGAAGTCTGTCAAGTGTATCACACCAATACAGATGACTTCAGGGTGTTAAGCAGAGCAGAAAAAAATTGTGTCTTGTAAAGAATGAAATTGTTACAGGTTTCCAGTCTGGTATGGACTGTCCCAAACCTTCCAGGTGTCTCTTTTCAGGGGTCTGGGGTAGGTGGCATTTTGGGACTCACCTGTTGTAACTGGGATGTGGTTGTAGCTCTCCTCAGGTACAGTTAGTCAGAGTCTCACTTTGCTGGGAGCCATTCCTTCCACACAGGAGCTCCCTGGGTGGATTTTGGGAAAGGTGGGGCTCCTTCACTGGCCCTGCAGTGTTGGCTTGTTTCAGCAGGGCGTAGTGGGGTAGGAAATGGCAACCAGCCAGAAATCAGAGAGTTCTGAGGTTCAGATTCTGATGGACCTGGTAAATTCTTCTCTCGTGTCTTCCAGAACAATAAAACAGTTATTTTGGTTTGGTTTTCCTGGTTGGGATTGGTTTGTTTTTTCACTCAAGGGAAGAAGATCCAAGGCCTGAGTGTTGTTTGGCTTGGAAGGCTGGCAGAGGGCCGGGGATGGGTTGCTTGTGCTGTGAAGCTCAGATGAGTCAGCATTAAAGAGAAGTGGCAGCTGACTCAGCCTCAGAGCAGTGTAAATAAACAGGTACAACATCCTGGACATCTGCCCAAGGAATTGTGACCCAGGCGTGATCATGCAAACATTATTATTATAATTATTAATATTATTATTAAGTGCGGCCTGCTGCAGGATTGGCTTCGTGCTGAATCTCACAGCACATAATGAGTAGCTCACCAGCTGTGTTGTGCTACATGTGATGCAAAACTTTTAAATCTTAGAATGAAATCAGATTGGCAAAGCCTGTGTGAATGCAGGGAGTTTGCCAATCTTCTCATACCATTTTGTCAAGTCTCCAGATCTGTAACCAGTTTAGAATGAAATCAGATTGACAAACTCCCTGCATTCACACAGGATTTGCCAATCTTCTCATACCATTTTGTCAAGTCTCCAGATCTTTACCCATCTTGTGTGTACATACATGAGTTCAGAGAGATGCTCATGGACAAATCATGGTTTTACTTGGTGCAAAGAGGGTACTTAGAGGTAGCACAAAAATTGATTTCTTTCCTTTTGGAGAGTGAGTGGTGTAGGGGGAATGAAGGAAATCTATTTGGTATCCCAGACAGTGATCTCAAACTATGGAATGCTCATCAGTCATATGACAGGGATTTAGAAATTGAGCCGGCACTCGAGATCTGAAATGAAAGATCATCTTCCTCTCTTGAACACGCATCAGATCCTTTAGGTACTTCTGACATTGCAGACCTGGATCTGTAACTCCTAGATCAGTCTATCAAGGGAAAATCAGAAATCCTAAAGTGCTGGGTTACAGAAGTGTTGGCCTGTTATTCTGTTACTCACATTAACTTTTAAAAAAATACTCAGAAAACTTTGTATCTATAAATTTCATTTGATAGAAGAACAAAGTTCTGCATGTGCAAAGGAGATGAGGGTCACCCTGGTCATCATCCCATCTCCCATCTGGAAGAGCACCCAGCTCTCCAGGGAATTCCTGGCTTTTGTCTTCTGTTACAGCCCTTTAGCCACAGATCCTTTTTCAAAGCTCCATCCTTGAGTGGCTGCCTGTGGCGTGGGTTATTTAGAGTGGTAGTTCCAGGATGTTTAGGAGTAGGGATGTTTGAAGGTCCCAGAAGGATACCCTCCCTCAGAGTTCTCATGAAGAACAGTGACATTTTGGTGGCACAGACATTCTGTGTTCCCCTGTGCGCGCCGTGGGCGAGGGAGAGCTCGGACCCAGGGCACCACGCAGACATCACTGCACTCAGTCCTTGGTGTTGTTGCTGCAGTTCCCAGGCAGGTTGTGTGTTGTGCTGGCTCCACTCAGGATTTTTCTGTGTGCTGATGATCCCTGGGAGAGGCAGAGCTGTCCCAGTGCTCTCTGCTCTCCCAGGACACCCAGCTGAGCTCGAGGCTGGCGGTGACTGAAGCTGGACGAGCGGCTCACAACGAGCTGCACGCAAAGCCTTTTCCAGGCGCTCTGGGGTGCTGTGGGCTAACCTGTTCTGATTTTCCAGGGGAGAAGCCACACAGGTGCCACCTGTGTCCCTTTGCCTCGGCCTACGAGCGTCACCTGGAGGCTCACATGCGGTCCCACACCGGGGAGAAGCCCTACAAGTGCGAGCTGTGCTCCTTCCGCTGCAGCGACCGCAGCAACCTGTCCCACCACCGCCGGCGCAAGCACAAGATGGTGCCCATCAAGGGCACCAGGTCTTCCCTGAGCAGCAAGAAGATGTGGGGGGTTCTGCAGAAGAAGACCAGCAATTTGGGGTACAGCAGAAGAGCATTAATTAATCTGAGTCCGCCTTCCATGGTGGTGCAGAAACCAGACTACCTTAACGATTTCACCCACGAAATCCCCAATATCCAGACTGAGGCGTACGAGAGCATGACAAAACCCACTCCAAGTGGTGGCTTGCCAAGAGATCCACAAGACCTCATGGTGGATAATCCTTTGAACCAGCTCTCCACCTTAGCAGGACAGTTGTCCAGTTTGCCACCTGAAAACCAAAATCCAGGCTCTCCTGACGTCGTTTCCTGTCAAGACGAAAAGCCTTTCATGATACAGCAGCCTGCTGCACCTGCAGTAGTTTCAGCTGTGTCAGCAAATATTCCTCAGAATTCCTCTCCAACCAGCCCTGATTCCCGGCCCACACACAATCAGAGGAACTATAGTCCTGTGGCAGGGCCCAGCAGTGACCGCAGTGCCCACACCAGTACTCCCAGTATCAGCAACAGCCAGCCGAGCACTCCAGCTCCAACCCTGCCCGTGCAGGACCCTCAGCTCCTGCACCACTGCCCACACTGTGACATGTACTTTGCAGACAATATCCTTTACACCATCCACATGGGATGCCATGGATTTGAAAATCCTTTCCAGTGTAACATTTGTGGGTGTAAGTGTAAAAACAAGTACGACTTCGCTTGCCACTTTGCAAGAGGCCAACATAATCAACATTGACTGAGAACATGCTTTTGTTTAGTTTTTTAACATATTACAGTCTATTTTTCATACTTGCTGATGGAAAGCTTGCACATTCCCATAAGGAATCTTCACATTAATCAATTTGACGAAGGAGGCAAATTGATTTTCTTGTAAAACTTGCCAGGGAAATTTTGTATCAGGTTCAGTTGCTGTTTTATATGTAGCCTTTCAAAAAAAGCCAAGAGTGCTGTAAGGGTTGGAATGCATTTACATGCTGTGGTTGTTAAGTTTAAGTTGCTTGCACTTAATCCCAATAAACATTCTGCAAGTGGAGAAGCAGAGCTTTTGTCCTGAGCCATAGGATGTAATTCCCAGATTGTTTACTAGGCAAGACAAGACATATTATCCATACAGTACAAAAGGTCAATGCAATGACACATCGTGTAGAGACAGGAGAAGGAGGAATGGCTTCATGGTGCCAGAGAGCAGGGTTGGATGGGATATTGGGAAGGAGTTGTTCCCTGGGAGGGTGGGCAGGCCCTGGCACAGGATACCCAGAGAAGCTGTGGCTGCCCCTGGGTCCCTGGCAGTGCCCAAGGCCAGGCTGGACAGGGCTTGGAGCAGCCTGGGACAGTGGAAGGTGTCTCTCCTTTAAGGTCCCTTCCAACCCCAACCATTCTTTGGAGAAATTCTTAAAAACCTGGCTACTCAAAAAAACCAGAAGCAGTTTTCATGTACAAATTCAATTTGATGTAAAAGTTGTTTTAATCTGATGAAGGTTAATAATAAGTTTTTGTTTAGTATAGTCTAAACTCTTCATGCTAGGACTTAAACACTAATTTAACTACTAGCACAAAACTAGAAGATAACAGGTTATTGCGAATAAAACTATGGTAGGAAAAAGAAAGAGCTAAAAGCCTGTCATTCATGAGTTATTGAAAACAAAAAAGTAAGATACCTTATTTTACCTACACTCTACAAAATTTTACATGTCATTGTTTTTCAGAGGAGGCAATTTTTAGAGACATAATGAAGAGCCTGTAGAACTAATATATATTCTGTGAGATTTCTAACTGCCTTAAACTGAGTTGTACAGATATTTAAAATTTGCACAATTAGACTTCTGTCCTGCTGATAGAAGTTCTGAAAGAAACAAACAAGAAGTTTACAAATCAAACTCCTTTGTTCAGTTTTATGTTGGGCCAGGCTACAACTGAGAGGTTGCCTGCATTTCTGAGAGTCATATAATCCAGTTTATTGTAAATTGCAGCTGACTTGGGGGCCTGGTTTGTCCCCTCTCCCAGGTTTGATGTCCTTTGGGTGTGCTGGGAATAAGGGGAAGGACCTCTGGCTTTTTCTGGCTCCATGTAGGATGCAAAGGAAAACTCACTGACTATACTGAAGCTGTTTTTAGGAATTGTGGATGGCAAATGATAACTGAAGTTGTTTATTTTATTTCATAGTGTACACTCATCTTTAGAAGCCCTCAGGCTAAAGGACAGGCACTTTAACATAAACCTGAGTAAAACATCTAATTAAAATGAATAATAACTTTGTGCTAGATAAGAATTTGAGACATTAAAAATAAAGGAAGAGCTGTTACTTTTCCCATATTTAGACATGCACTTTTACCTTGGTTTGTCCTACTTGAGACAAATCAAAGCTTCCCTTATATATTCCCCTTTTCCTATCAGCAAACCAAGTTTTGTTAAAAGCAAGAAGATTTTATTAATGTTCCCACAAGTCAGAGGTTGGAATCTCAATAGGAAATGTTTGACTTATTCAAATTTATATTTTTATGTTAAAACTTCCTGAAACCAATGGCAAAACTTGCAGTGATCAGGGTGAGATCAATGCAGGAAAACCACCAGTGTAAGAATTTTAGCTGTGGAAGTGATTTTGACTTTAATTAAATAGAAATTTGGATTTTGACTTTAATTAAATAGAAATTTGGATACCAGACATGTTTCTGTCTACCTGACTGACCTACTGATGAATTTCTGTGCTTGAGGAACTGGGTTCTTCCTTGGCTGTGCAGTCTTGAAGTAATGAGGTCAGAAATCTGTCACTGCAGTGGCTCCAGTGTAGTGAAGATGAGCAATAACACTGTCACTCCTAAAAATTGTTTTGTTTTCAGGCCTGGTTCAGAATTTGTTTTGCTGGATTTGTAAGACACAATGTAATTTGCATTTTTCGTCAGGACACTCTGTAATTCCAAAATATTTCATTGTTGATTTATACTTTTTAGATTTATTTTGTAAGTAAAGTTGCAAATCTGTGTGTGTAAACATCCTTTATTTTAAGGAGTAAAAGCTGACGGAACTGGAATCCAGGTGGAAGTTACTGCTCCTGAACAGGTTCTGGAATCAAAATTTTTCCAGTCAAAGAGGGCAGAAATGGTGGCTCTCTTTGGATCACACATGGAACAATTCTACAATTTAAATTTGGCTCAGATGTAGGATAAGAGAAGACTGGAAGACTTTACAAGTAGTAATTTATGGAAGTGGTTTTCCTTGCCTTTTTGGTAGATGATGCACTCTCCTATTCCTAAGCTCTGGCATTCCCAAGGAAACTTGTGGAATGCTGGTGCTCCAGGGAACACCTCCAGTACTGAGTATCATAGGAAAAGTCTTTTCCATGTGCACAGATGTGGTTTCTGACCTCTGGGGCTTCTGCTGGCAGTGTTCACCTTGTTAGAGGCTTCTCTTTGCCTCGAGATGTGGTGATTTAGAGGAATGACCCCTGCCCCAGGATGGCCTTGAACAGAACTCAGGATAGGTCACTAATGGGGGAGTTGGGAGCAGGAGGAAGCCTGCAGGACCTCATGGAAAAGGGGTCCTTGTTTGGGAGGGGATCCCATTGTGGGGAATGTGTGTTCTTAATAACAGAACTCTGTGGGAAAAAATCTGTCCCCAAGCCTTGCAAACCGAGTTTGGAAGGATTTTCCTGTTGCTGCCTGGACACCGTTGGTTCTGCTCTGGAGTGACTAAGGGAAAGATTAGCTGGGACATCTCTGAACGGCTGAGGAATGAAAAAACTCTTTTCCCTGTTTCCTTGGGCAAACTCCTCCTTGCAGGGGGGTTCTTGGGCAGCAGCAGCAGCAGCTCTGCCCCAGAGCCCTGGGGTGGATCCCTTTGTCCTTCCCAGGACTGGGATTGCTCGTGTTCCATCATCACACTGTGTTCAGTTGTGCCAAACACTGCCCTGACATCATTGTCCCCTTCTGTCAGCTGAGGAGCTTTGGAAGGTGCATTTTCCTATTTTTCATTATTTATGCATACTATTGACTATAATTTAAAGTGCAGAACTGGTACTGGCAAATTCTTTCCAAATGTTATCCCTTGCACAAGCAGGCCTTACCCAGAGTCAGTGAGGGAGACTTGGCCAGGATTCTGGGACTGAGCCCTTTGTTAAAAGAACTTTTCATGTTGTCCTGGGTTGTCCTCCGTGTGCTACACTGCACTCACTTGTTTTGGTGTTTTGGTTTTTTTTTAACCCAAATCCTCACGTTGTAATGGGTGATTGGCATTATAACTGAGTCCTCCATTGCTACACTGCACTCACTCGTTTTGGTGTTTTGTTTTTTTTTAACCCAAATCCTCACGTTGTAATGGGTGATTGGTATTATAACTGTTACTAATGGAGGTTTAGGAAGGAGATGGAATTTTTCCATAGCTCAGTTTTGTTAAATTCTGTATCTGCAAAACATGAACTTCGTGGGGGTTTTGTTTTTATTGTCACAACTTATTTTATAACTTTGTGGACATTTATAACACGCACTATTTATTGCAATCTTAATACACATTTACTGTTTTGAGACTGAATATTCCAATGGGCATTTGGATATTTGGACATCTTCATTATCTCAGTTAATATTCAACTGTGAAGGAGGCAATAGGAAAAACAGTTGTTTTTTCACAGACACATGTTTAGATGAAGAGGATTTAGACATAAAATGTTGATTGGCTTTTTAATATAAAATCAGTTCTGGGACACTTTCCAGCAGTGTTTTCCAGCCAAATAATCTGTTACTGTTTGTTTTGTTCCAGAATGTTTTGGGGGTTTGCTTTTTGTTTCTTTTTGACAAAGGGAATGTAATTTAGAAGTCTTCACTGGCAAGTTTTCTACTAATTTTAAACTTCCTTGAAAATCTACAGCAAATGATGTTCTGCTGCAGGGAATCTCTCTCCTGCTAAAGCATTTTTCATTGAGCAGTCTTTGTATATGTGCTTCTAAGTACCTACTTTGTTAATAATATGTATTTCAGTGTAAAGAGCAGATTTTATGCAAAAATGAAACCTGTTAGAGTTGTAAAATAAATTTTAATGTTAGTGAGCGTTTCTGAGACGACAAGGTTAATTCTGAAATAACTCTTATCTCGTGTAGTTCATGTTGTGAAGCTTTGCTTTTGTAAGATATGAATAAAATAACACTTTCTAATTAGGTCCCATGTCAATTCTTAATTGCATATCCTTCCATGGGTGGAGCTGGTGATTTCCCAGGTGCTCCTCCTGGGTTAACTTTCTGATTCTGTGAAATTTAAATCTCAGGATGGTTTGCTCTTGGCTTGATCTCCGCAGCCAAGAACAGCTTGGTTAGACTTGATCAAACTGTTTCTCTTCCATCTCATGGGGAGAGGAGGCACAGGGGCTCCAGGGAAGGGAGCTGCACCTCAGATCTCTCAGCAGCAGTGCTCTGAGTATGCATTTGAAACACTAGGGACTCCTAAACACCCAACATTCTCTATGTCATTATTTTAAAATATATTTATTTATCACACTGGTTGCCTCATGTTGGAATGAAGAAATAACACCTGTAGCAGGGTCAGAATATTGAGTTTTCAAAGTATTTCCTTGCCTCAAGTCATCCAAAAATTCTCCTTTCAGTTTGTTGAGTTCTTCTGCCAGGCTCTTCATCTCACTTGGGAGAAGGTTTTTACCTAAAAGAAAATTGAAGCTGAACTTTTAACTTCATGCTTACAGAAAAAAAACCCCACAGAACCACAGAATATCCTGAGCTGGAAGGGACCCACAGGACCATCCAGTGCAGCTCCTGTCCCTGCAGAGGCATCCCAACAATCCCAGCACTGTCCAAACTCCTGGAGCTCTGGCAGCCTCAGGGCCGTGCCCATTCCCAGCACCCTCTGGGGAAGAACCTTTCCCTAAATCCAACCTAAACCCCCCTGGCACAGCTCCAGCCATTCCTCCTGTCCCTGGTCACAGAGAGAAGCCTGAACAGAAGCACAGGGCTGAGCTTTTCAGTTAAGGACACTGAGCTGCTCCTCATACAAATCTGCCCCTGTCCTTACTGACAGTGTCCCAAAACAGTATTAAACTCCTCTAAAATGCTGCTCTGTACTAAATGGCTTTATTAAAGCTGTACTTAATACAGTTAACAAATATGATTCTGGTTTTTAAATCTACAAACTTCTACAAACAACACTGAGCAGAGCTGTGAAGGTGTTGCCTCGGGCACACTGCTGGGATAGGATTCCTGGACAGTTTACCCCAAGGGAATTGCAGGGGCTGTTTCCCATTGCCAGCTGGCAGCTGGGATGGGTGGCATGGGCAGAAGGTACCTTTGGCATCCTGCATGGCCTCAGAGATGATCCTCCTGCACGCCTGGTCAGCCTGATGGACAGCGCTGGCTGCACAGATGGCTCGAGCTGCCTCCTGGCCAGGGCCACCAGGAAGGAAGAAAACAAGCAGACACTTTGAATTTACTTGACTTTTGAAGTGCCATGTGAGAACAACACACCAGCAGCAGCCAGAGCTGTGCCCTGAAGCCCAGCAGTGCTACCTTCTGCTCCGTGTCCTCCTCGTTTGGCCTCTCTGGATTTGCCAAAGCAGTGGCCAGCAAGTTCATGATCTGCTCACTAAGAAAACAGAGTAAACCATGGCAATCAAACACTTCTTTTCTTTTCTAATGATGCCACAGGAAAAAAAAAAAAAAAAAAAAAAAAAAAAAAAGAAGCAAGATTTCAGTTAATTTTTGAAGGTAATCGGTGAAATAATCTGAAATTAAAAACAATTACAACTCAAATTATTACAACTCAACCTTAGCATTTCAGACAACTTGCACAGATTTTCAGTGACAGGGTAGGAATGCTGTGAGTTTTGAGGTTAACCCTGCAGAGGATGGTGGCTGTGAGCTCCCAACAAGCCTGGAATCTGTGTAACTGCCTGGCTTCCAAAAATCACCACTGGCAGTACTTTTTACACACTGTGCAGATACAATAAGAAGCTTCTACCTCTGAAAATAGCACTTAGGGAAAACCATAGGATCAACAGAAACATACTCATCCTCTGAGATGCAATCAGAACTGCTCAGAATGAGGCTGTGCTGCTCCCAGGTGTTTTTCCTGGGATCTGGCATTTCTATTTTCCTTGCCATTAACTGTATGGTCTGCTCAGGCACAGGATCACTTCTGAGGCGATTCCTCTGCAGGCAGCATTCCACTGGACACTCTAAAAACAACTGGCAGAAGCCCAAGGAATCTAAAAAGAACAGAACCAGGGAATTTTATCTTTAAACAGTTCAAGTAACAGTTTCTGAGAGCAGCATGCAGGGGAAAGGCTCTACATGAATGAGGAGCTTCTGCTCTGCTTCTGAGCCTGCATGAACACAAATCTGGACAGGGAACAGAATTTTACCTCAAGACTGCACAAGAAATGTCTGAGATCAACACACAAAACCATGGAATGGCTTGGACTGGGAGGGACCTTAAAGATAATTTCATTCCTCCCCTGCCATGGCAGGGACACCTCCCACTGTCCCAGGTGCTCCCAGCCCTGTCCAGCCTGGCCTTGGGCACTGCCAGGGATCCAGGGGCAGCCACAGCTGCTCTGGGCACCCTGTGCCAGGGCCTCCTCACCTTCCCAGAGTGCAATTCCTAATTCCCAATATCCTGTCCATCCCTGCCCTCTG